CACTGTGTACTGAGCCCTCCTACATCAATTAGCAATCAAGAAAACACCCCACAGACACCCCCAGTCTGATGGAGACAATTCCTCAATGGGTATATCCGGGTTTGTGTCAAGGGGGAAAAATTAACTAGCACAGTGTACTTGTCTGCCTGACACACAAGCATCACTGTTAAACTATCATCTTCCAATTCTTTGTCCCCAAGATCTCATTATTACAAAGTATTACAAAGCACAGTACAATTTTAAATGTCTTATAGTCTTTTTTTTTTTTTTAAGCCCAAATGGTTTAAAAAGCACAAGTTCTCTTTAAAAATCCAGTCTGGGCACTAGGTGGTGGTGGCTCATGCCTTTAATCACAGCACTCGGGAGGCAGAGATAGACCCATCTCTGTGAGTTCCAGGCCAGCCTAGTCTACAGAGTAAGTTCCAGGTCAGCCAGGGCTACACAGAGAAACCCTGTCTCAAAAAACCAAACAGCAACAGCAACAAAAACTTGCAGTCTCTTAACTGTGGGTTTCTGTAAAATCCAAAAATACATAATTTATTGTCCCACAAGGGAATTTGTTTCACAGGGGAAGAATAAGGGCATAGTTACAATCAGACAAATGCAAAACCAAAATCCTATAGTGTGAACAGTGACTCATTTCTGATCTACTGGGATCCAAAGGGCTTGGGTAGCTGTAGTTCTCCTACTCTGCCATCTATAACATATAGCTTGTCTTGTTGGCTCAGGTTGGATTCACGTCATATCTGCCACTGTCCTTGGTGGTCACCTTACAGTCCTGGCATATCCAGTAGCCTGGAGTTTCCTCTAAAACTGAGTCTGCAACTTCAGCAATGGCATCTCCTGGCTTCATACAATGTCAAACTTTAGTTGCTCTCCATGACTCCCTCATGCCTTCAAGTCCAGTACCATGTGGGATACACACTATTTGCCAAATTCTGCTGCCAGCTTGATATGCATCCTTGGCTCACAACTGGTCCACAGTGTGCTGACCACGGGGAAAGTACTTCCCAGATGTCGCCTCAGTGATTCTGGTCTTGTTACCTACAGCTGAGTTTTCAGCCCTAGCTAACCAGCATCCCTTGTCCCAATGTTTAATTCCATGGATTATCAACATGTCATACTAGTGGTCCTGCTGGAGTATTTAAGGAAGGGACTCTCAAACTTCCCTATGAAACCTTATAGGCCAGGTCTCCACCATCTGTATTTCTTTTAACATTTGTTCCTTTGAAACTGTCATAGAACATCTCGTTCATCTCTGACTACTCAATGACTTTTCTGGCCCAAAGTTCCAAATGCTTCCCTAACTTCCCAACCCCCCCCCAAAAAAAAAAAAAAAAAAAACATGGTCAGGTCCATTACAGCAACAGTCCACTTCTGGCACCAATTTTTATTCTGGTTTGCTCTTCTGTTGCTGTGATAACTGTCATGACCAAAAAACAAAACAAAACAAAAAAACAAAACTACTTGGGTAAGAAAATTTATTTTAGTTTATAGGTTATAGTCCATCAGCAAGGGAAAAGCAGGGTAGGTGCCCAAGTAAAGATCTCAGAAGCAGAAACTAAAGCAGAGAGACCACAGAGGTCACCCTGGCTTGCTCCTAGGCTCACACTCAACTATCTTCCTTACGCAGCCCAAGCCTACCTTTTCAGGGGTGACACCATCCACAGTGGACAGGCCCTCTCACATAAGGCAACAATCAAGAAAATGCCACACAGACATTCCTTCCTACAAGCCAATCTGATGGAGACAATTCCTCAGTTGAGTTCTCTCTTTTCCATGTATGTCAAGTTAACAACCAAAATTAGCCAAAAACTCACCCACCCCCATTCTGTTCCTTCTTGATATAGCCCGTCGGTGGTGGCTGCCCAGTCTTTGAAGGGCGCCCCAAGCTGGCTGCGTGGTACCATCGGGTGGAGGCAGCAGTGGGAAAGGATCTCTTCCGGGAGGCCCATGAGGTCATCCTGAATGCTAAGGACTCTCCACCTGCCAACCTCATCATAAAGCAGAAGCTGATGCCTGGAGTGCTGGCCATGATCCAGTGAATTCAGAAGCTTTGTCCCTGCACTTCCCATGGCAGTTCACAAAGTACTTTCCTTTCACTAGTGTTGCATCCTAGCCTCACAGCATAATAATTCTTAGACCACAATCCATCTTCACCCTTTTTCTGGGATAGCCACACATGACCACAACTATAATTACTACCTTTCACTTTTGAATTTGGATAATAAACCTGGGCTCATTTTGAGCCTTAGCTTCTGTGTGTTTTTATTTGATCTTCCTCTATTCTAGCCCAATTATCTTTCCAAAAGACATCTCCATTTCCCAGGCTTTGAGGGTCATTCCCCCCCCCCCAAGGTTGCCAAGAATGACATCACAGATAGGCATGGTAACTCAAGCCGGTAATCCAGCACTTAGAAGGATGAAGCAAGAGTATTACCGAGAGTTCAAGGCTAGCCTGAGCTACACATTGAGACCCATTCCAGCTTGGGATACAGTGTGAGACTGTATCTCAACAATAAAACAGAACAACAACACAAACAAACAGAGCAAGCTAAACCACAAATACCTTACAGACTTCTGGTTCTTAGAGAATGGGATCAGCAGGTGTCTCAGCTGCAGGCATGGAAATCCATCACTTAGCCAGGTCAGCTCTTGGACATGGCCCCTTCGTAGGATCACCAACCCTTCCTGACCTACAGAATTGGTCTGTTATGCCCAGTCCACAAAACCCCCAGAGAGACCTCCACTTGGAGCCAAATCACTGAATGCAAGCACAAGGTGTCTTTATTGAGTTCAAGCCTAAGCAGGGACCTCGTTCCACAGACTGACACAGCAGCTGCAGAAGGTGCCCAGCCTCACAAGCAAGGGGTTTATAAAGACAAAACCACAGGATAGGGTGAGGGGTATGGGTTCAAAGCTGATTGGCTGGGATGTCTAGAGGAACTTGGGGTGTTTCCATAGATTTATCTCTGGCACTATATGTGCTCTCTCGCACCACACATGCCCATAAATGTTGTTGTCACAACTCTGTTAATTGGGTAAACTGGGGTCAGGGCCCTTTGGGGTTATCTGTTCTTCCTGAGGGCCTGCTTTTTTCTGGATCCAGTTGCACAGGTCATGGGGTGAGGTTCCCATATTCTGTTTCTGGCCCTGTTTTCTAAACTGGCCTTGGTTTGGTTTCTCATGTTAAGAAATACCCACAGCAGCTGTGCTGATCAAAGGTCATGCTCAAACTCTTGGGTACAAACTGTAAACTGGAATGAGGGGCTCAGATTGCATTCTGGAATCATATTCTATCTGTTGGGGGTGGGGGAGTGGATTAGAAGGCAGTCAGGAAGGAAGTGTGAGAGACTGAATGTTGCTGTAGTTGGGTTGGGGTGGGGGTGGTAGACAAAGGCAACATGTGGAGGACTGTTAATCCCTAAAGGAAAGAGATGAGAAGATGGAGAAGGGATCCTCCCTCTCAGTCTAGAGACCTCAGCTTCCATTAGGACAAGAAGACACTTTCCTGGGGGGATAGGTCTACCTTACTGGGGAACACTTGGGAACAAGAAGACAAAGCTACTACCAACTTTCCCAATGACCTATTGTCTTGCCAAGGCACATTTTCTGGATTTATCAATTGGGAAAGGGGAGGTTCTCTTGGGGAATGATGATGTCATACAGGCTCCTGAGTGCCATTGCTTTTTGCACTGGGTGGAGAAGTGTTATCCAATCCCAGGCACATCTGCAATCCTCTCTCCCCCATTGAATTAGAATGGGGAGGGTCCCCTATCATTTCCTCACAGGTTGTGGGCCTAGCCTTTGCATGCTTTGGACAAATATCACCCCTATCCTGAGTCCTAGGGCCCTGGGAGCTGGGTGGGGAACTTCCTTTTTTGCCACAGACTATCCCCAGCCAGGTATGGGAGTCCCTGGGGTTAGGGCCTAGAAGACTGGGCGGGTAAGGATTTGGTGGTGGCAAACTGAAACAAACACAAAGGCAGTTTGAATCTGAGTGTATTTTGCAGCTTTCAAGCAAGGCCTTTTATAATAAAACAATTATCTTCTCAGAGTTTGTGTTAGAAGCAATACCCAGATGGCATCATCGTTACTAGGCACAGTAATATACAACCTATCCAACAATACATCAGAAAATCATTCAAGGCTAACTGTAGCTAACCACCTATTTCTAAGGTCAGGCTAATAAATTTTTATAGTCAGTTATTGCTTGATATCTGTCACCTAGTTCTTGTGAGTTTTGGACTGATTTTTTTTTTTAATTAAAAAGCTTTCCTTACCAAACATTTAAACCCGCTCTCAATTATGCATGTACAGCCATATGAAATTCTATTGTTGGGAAAGTTTTTAATCAATACTATTACTATTTACTTATGTGAATTATTCAAAAAGCACTGATTTTCTTGGAGATGAGGTCATGGTCAGTGACCACGTCTCAGGGGATGGTTTCTCATTTATTTCTTTTGTTTGAAACGTCATCGAAGGCTTTCAGGAACATTTCGTTAATATGAGAAAAGAACAGAAGACTAGAAATCGCCTTGAGAACTACGGCTTAATATTTTTCTCTGGCTGAGAGTTCCACAACCATTTCCAGAAGACCTTCAGTATTACCTCAGTCTATTCCAGAAGACCTTCTTTTGAAGGTATTACCTCAGTCTATGGAACTTGTCACACAGAATCTACTGGATTTGACTTTTTCCTTTTCTGTGTCAAGGATCTCTGAAGCCACTCGTCTCTCAGCCCTCTCCGTGAATGGAGGAAGAGAAAATGAACTGTAAAGCAGACAGTACTGTTTGGCAGATAGCAGAGACCCAGGTATCCAGTTCAGGTTGGTCTGTGCAGAATGAACCGGCTGCCTGCCTCTGATTGGCCCAAAGTTCTCATGAACATCCAATGAGAGGAAAGGCTGTGATCCGGCTCTGGTGTTAGAAAAGGAACACAGAGGGCGGTGACCCAGCCGTTCCTGCTCGCCGTTGCAGCTTCTCCCAATTCTGTCCCCAGAGGCAGTTCCCCCGCGGTCAGTCTCCTAGGTCTGCCAGCCGCCACTCCCACAGCCTCCCTCATGGGTCTGGAGCTATACCTGGACCTGATGTCCCAGCCCTGCCGTGCTGTCTACATCTTCGCCAAGAAGAACGACATCCCCTTCCAGCTGCGTACCATAGAGTTGCTCAAAGGTGGGCCCAGTTAGAGGACTGGGTAGTCTGCAGCCTTGTTATACTCCCAGCCCCGTTTTCTACTTGTCACTTTGGGACAGAGTTGCTGAGCTGTCGAGGCACTGCACTCACTTTTACCCCATTCAAACACCGAGTTTCTCACATAGCTGGAATTACAGGCTTGCCCATCTCCCCTGCTAGAAGTTTGCTTTGTAGGAGTTTCCAGTCAGCTAGGGAGCTCTGTGAAAGGACAGTGGGGGGAGGCCAGCATTCTCACTGGAGCTGGAATGTTACTCTGGTTAGCCTGAAGAGAAAACAAAACAAAAAAACATAAACCAGCCACTGAAGCAGAACTCATTGGGGGCAAGGTTACAACTGGACAGTCACAACTGACAGGCAGAGAACCTAGAGCATCTCATCCCGTTCAGCTGAGTCCTCCTACTGGCTGTCTTTGGTACTTTCAACTTGGACCATAGGACAGGAGCCGCACATAGGCAGCTTGTGGAAGGAACATGGACAAGGGATGGGGTCCATTCAGTCATTCAGTGGATGGAGAGAGAGGTCCACAGATGGATCTAGACCCTGGCTTCACTAAATGCCCCCTGACTCTATTTGCATTGATTGGGCAACCTCGCTTGTGTCATCAGATCTGCCTTAGGCATGGTGATCCCCAGAGAGGCAATGAGTTGGTTTGGGAACCCAAGTGAGCAAGGAGTGAACTCTGAGGGTTTGGCACGATGAAGGGAGAATTGAGCTGCTAGAGGTCAGATAGCTGGAAGGGGCTTGTTCCTGGCAAGAGCTGTGTTGAGAATTAAGAATAGGGAGGATTGGAGCTCTGGGGTGGACACAGGTCATCTACTCTGGTCAGAAGAACCTACCAAGTTCTACCTGGGTAGGAAGATGGACCAGAGCCCAGGAATGAGACGGGTGTCTGTCTATGGATGACTGTAGACCATAACTGCACAGAATCACCTTGTTCCCAGGTTTTGAGAGGCAAATGGATTTGTGATAGGATCAACATCTGTGGTCTACTGGCCAGCATGGTGGCTTCCTCTTCCCCTGGGCTTCCTGTGGAGAACTGGTGCCTGAATGTAGGGAAGGCTGCAGGCAGATGTTAAAGAGCCTCGGGGTCCTCTTCCCTGACCTCTCTGGTCTTTCTGCAGGCCAGCACTACACTGATGACTTTGCCCAGGTGAACCCCTTGAGGAAGGTACCAGCTTTGAAGGATGGGGACTTCAACTTGGCAGAGAGGTAATGGGTTCCAGGCTCGAAACCAATCTGTGTGAGGCAGGCCACCTGACTGGGCCCACTGTCAACCACCTGGACTGTGGCTGCTGTGTCAGCCCCAGGGGTAAATGGTTGGATGAAACTCAAACAGCTACCTGGGGCCGAGACAGGGCTTTTGAAGATATGGTATGCTTGCCTCCCTCTGCATTTTACGGATGAGGAAACTGAGACTGGAGTATGAGGGAGAGCAGGCTACTTCCTAACCCATTCCCTGCTAGCCCAACCCTCAGGAGGAAGGACAATGCCAAAGAGAGAGCAGCTGCACCAGGTCCTGCAAATACCACATCCGCCACATACCCTGGGGAGCGGGGAGAGCCGCTTCCCTTGAAGCCAATGATCACCCATTGAACTTAGTTGCCATCTGCTGAGCACCCAGCAACACCAGGTTGCTGTCTATCCTTGGAGCTTGAGCAGAACATAATCTGGGCTTGCATGGATCGCATATTTTACAGGGAGGAGTGACAATGACATGACAGGTGGCGAGTGCTGTGAAGAAACAGGTCGGGGGTGGGATCTCAAGTGAGAGGGATTAAAAGGGCACGGGTGGTAAAGCAAGCAGGAACTTCCAGGACCGATGTGCTGGGTATGTGTTCTTGCTGGAAGGACAAAGGTGAGGGCCATGCCTTTAGACTATGCAGCTACAGGCTGAAGGGCTGAGGCCAGCACTCCTGGTGTGAAGGGAGGCATGCAGAGCAGTGTGGTGCCTGGAGGGAGTGGAGAATAGGGAAAGGCTGGATAAGAAGGCATGTGAAAATTCAGGTAGAAGACAGTCCCACCCTAGGCCAAGGTGACTTAAGAATGACCAGAGCATGTTCTCCTCCACTCTGTGTCCCTCCAGTGTAGCCATCTTGCTGTATTTGAGTAGAAAGTACAAGGCTCCTGACCACTGGTACCCTCAGGACCTTCAGGCTCGAGCTCGTGTAGATGAGTACCTGTCTTGGCAACACACAGCCCTCCGGAATTGTTGCACCAGGGCCATGTGGCAGAAGGTGAGCCACAGGGACAAAGGGTGGCATTGCCTCTCAGGATGCTTCAGAGATGGTACTCCTGGTTAAAAAGAAAAGTTCTTGGGCCAGCGATATGCCTCAGTGGGTGTAAAGGCATTTGTCACCAAGCCTGACAAGCCGAGTTCAATTCCTGTGATCCATATAGTAGAAGTAGAGAACTAATTCCTGCAAGTTGCCTTCTGACCTCCACAAGCATGCTGTGGTGAGGGAGGCATGCATGTGAGAGCATAAATAACAGTAAATTAATTTTAAATGATATGTTCTGTTTAAATTTTTAAACTTGGGGGCCGTCAAATTCCAGCATGGGATGTCAGCCTTGCATGTTGGTGGTCCTCCTGAATACTGGCTTTAACACAGTAAGTCTCTCAACAATGTACCAACTACCATGTCTCTCTTGAGAAGTCCCACTTGAAGTAGAAGGGGATCCAGAATGGGGACAGGATGGCAGCTGCTACACTGGAGAGAGCTTTGTGTTGAGGTCTTATTCCTCAGAGTCAGGAATGATTTTATGCAGGCAAAGGGCAAGGAAGGGTCCCAGGAACTGAGATGGATGAACAAGAGTGTGACAAAAGATGAGTGTGGGACAGAGCCAAATCTTTCTTTTTGCTGGTCCTCCAGATGATGTTCCCTAAGTACCTGGGACATTCAGTACCCCCTGAGATGTTGGCAGCCACTTTGGCTGAACTGGATAGGTGCCTGCAGATGCTGGAGGACAAGTTCCTGCGGGACCAGGCCTACCTTACAGGATCCTGTATCTCTGTGGCTGACTTGGTGGCCATCACAGAGCTGATGCATGTGAGTGCTGTGGAGTGGGGCGACCTGATGGATGATGGAGAATCCTGGGAGGGAGCCCTGGCTCATGATGACTTTTCTGGATGAGTCACTTCTTCCTCTGAGCCTTAGTCTTCTTCATTTATAAAGTGAATTTTAAAATGTTTTATTAGCATATATTAATTGCACATAACAATAGTGTTAGGAGTAAATTGGCACAGGTTAGGAATACAGTGGAATGGGTTGGGACCATGTGTGGCAGGTCCCTAGTCCTGCAGCAGGTGATGGACAGTGGGCTGATGGGGAAACAGGATGGGGAAACAGAGGCCTGCAGATGTAACTCATATTCAAAGTTGTATTGATGGGAAGGTAAGAAAATAAGGGTAGGAAGAGAAAAGAAGTACAGAGACAGAAGAGAAAGGGGGCAGGAAAAGAGAGCAGAAAAAGCCAGGGTACATATACCTGCCAAACGTAGGTGGGTGAGAGGTGGGGCCAGGTTTGTCTGGATTACAACAAATGGGTTTCATTTGGACACTTTCATATGTGTACATAATATATTTTTATCACAGTCACCCCTTTGCCATCTCTTGTCCCCCTCCTGCTGATCTGTTTCTCACTAGCTTCCATTCTACTGTCACATTGGTGTGTGTGTGTGTGTGTGTGTGTGTGTGTATGTGTGTGTTTCAGTAAGTTTCATCAAGGTTGCTTACGGGAGGATGGATAAGGATTTATTTGTCCACAAAAGCACGGGTACCTTACCAGTGGCCACTGAGGAAAATGTCTCCTTCTCCCAAAACCATTATCTTCAGAGAGTGGTGAGACCCTAAGTGACCTTGATGCTAATGGACCCAATCATATGCAAATGCTATGCCATTCCATTCCTGGAAGTCAGTGTTCCAAGACTCCCTTTCCTTTTCTTAGGGCTCTTACATTCTTTCCATGTCTTCCCCAATATTTCCTCAGCCTTGGGAGAGGGTGACATAAGATGCCTGATTTATGGCTGAGCTTTTGACCATCGCTGAGTCTTAGCATCATTGAGACAATCTTTATAAATTCTATTGTAAGACCCTCAGAATGAGGAGTCTCCCAGTTTCGGTCGGTACCCCAGAACTCAAATGTCCAGTCTAGTTGATGCAACATGCAAGAGGCTTTAATGAACAGGAAACGTTTGCACAAACGGGCCTCCTCAGCACGCAGGCTAGAGAAAAGCATCATTCTCCAGGCACAGGTGTTTTTAAAGGCAAAACCCACAAGCTTAGGGAGGGGGTGTGACCCTCTGCCTGTTGAGTATGTGACCTTTTGAGGCCTGATGGTCTCGCTGTTAGGGTCAGCAGACCTTAAGGCCTCAGGGTGTACTAATAAATCTTGTCTGGGCAAACTGGAGTTCCAGCTATCTCTTTGTTTCTTAAGGACCCTATTTACCACCTGCTGACTCACTGAAAGGAGGGGCAGTGTGAATTCTTGGTATCCTGCTATTTTAGGGCTGGTGGTTAGCAAATTCCACCTGGCATTCCAATTATTTCTTTGCTTGTTTAAGTCTTTCACTATGAGAGCACCGAGAGGCACGTGATGGAAGGAGTGATGATGCTATGGGGGATACCGAAACAGACCGTGCTGCCTTGTAGATGGTGGAACTTAGCCTCTCTGCTTGGCTTTTTCTCCCCACAGCCTGTCAGTGCTGGCTGCAAAATCTTCGAGAGCCGACCCAAACTGGAGGCGTGGCGTCAGCGTGTGGAAGCTGCAGTGGGGGAGAAACTCTTCCAGGAGGCCCATGCAGTTGTCCTGAAGGCCAAGGATATGCCTCCCTTGATGGACCCCACCTTAAAGAAGAATCTGATGCTCTCCTTGCAGTATTTGCTGCATTGAGGGAGCAGCCCGAGCCATCAAGGGAAAGGCTGGGTTGTGCAGGGGAAGAGACAGGGTGGAATGTCTCTTTGGCTGTCACTAGGACATGATGTCTCTGGCCTATAATTTCCTTTACGTATCACCAGTGTTCTTCCCCTGTCCCTGTCCTGCTTGTACTGTAACATTAGATTTTACCTGGCCTCTAGAGACTTGGAAAATACCAGGCCCTATTCCTCATTTGAAACTCTACAAACCACTGAACTTGTAACCTTGCCCCACCCTCCAGGATGCGTTCATTTCAGGCCCCTGTCCCTGCTCTCACATTGATACCCCCCTCCCCATTTTTGACATTTGTCACCATGTGACCCCTCTGGGCTCTTCATTCCTAGTGCAAAATCTATGATCCCTGGCTTGAGCACATGCCACTGAGAGGGAGTGACTAGTAAGCCTTTGTCCTCTGGGTCTCTCTCCTCCCTCTGTCTGGGGTGATGCTGCCTGCCATAGACAGGGTGCAGGGCTGGTTCATGATGTCCCTTGCATGGGTGAAGTTTCTAGCAATGTCCTGACTTTCCAAATTATACCAAGCAGTGTTGCTTGCTCTAAGTCTTCTAACCCTGACTGCTATCTTCTGCATGTCTCCTGCTCCAAGTTGTCAAGCCTCGTAATCTTGTGCCATAGGGCCTCTGGTATGTCCATTACCTAATAAATTGCTCAACAGAACAAGAGTGATGGTTGTGTCTCTCAGCCCATTTGCTTTTGTTTCCTTTAGTATACACACTTAGATTGCCTTTTTTTGGATGGGCTTTTTTTTGGGGGGGGGGGTTCCAGACAGGGTTTCTCTACATAGCCCTGGCCATCCTGAAACTCAACCAGGCTGGTCTCGAACTCAGAGATCCTCCTAGGTGCTGGGATTAAGCGAGGGCCTACCCCTGCCCGACCAGATTGCCTTGTTAAATGACTCTGTTACCCTCTGGTGAACAATGATTCATTACTACAAAGTCCGGTATCTTAGGTGGAGATGCCCTCACCCTAGGGTTTTACCCAGGCATATCTCATTTACAAGTGATACCTGGTCTCAAGATTGTTCCAAAAAAGGTGTAGTTCCCATATTGAATTTGATATAATCACAATCACTCAAGAAACTTTAAGCCAGCCTGGCGATGTGAAGTCTCTCCTTCAGGAATGTATGTGTTGTGAGTGTTTAGCCGGCTCAACTCAAAGGAAAACAGAGCCCCCTGCTGACTGGGAGGGCCAAAGACGAAGAAGCTCCGACTCCGGTAATTTGGGTCCCGCACACGTGACTGCAGAAGAGGCGTAGCCGTGCTAGCCAACCCAGTAGTGCCGATGCTGTCTGGCCAATGGGAGGCTTAGTTGTAACGCCACGCCCCACCCCGCCCCGTGCCGGGTTTCTGGATCCTCAGCTAGCTCAGGCCGCAGTAGGTGCCCTTGCAGCTTTGCGATCCTTCTCGTCCCCCAACATGCCATTCATTGAGTTGGAAACGAACTTGCCAGCTAGCCGCATGCCCGCAGGGCTAGAGAAGCGGTTGTGTGCGGCCACCGCCGCCATCCTGGACAAACCCGAAGACGTGAGCTCGGGTCGGGGAACCCTGGGCGCGCGGAAGTTGTGGGCTAGGGGTCAGACTTCCCAATGACCTTTACTCTTATCCCCAGAGACCCCCACGCCCCTGCTAACCTCTGACCTTCCGTGTCCCATCCTTCCTCCCCAGGTCTTTTCCTGGTTGCCCCTCCCAGGCGTGACCCTGAAGTGACTGATTTCCCAGGTTTCTGGCCAGCGTCCCCAAACCCTCATCCCTCAGACCCTCACGTTAAGACTTTGGCGCGCTTGTTCCAGACGCCAGCCTGGCCTGCCCGAGCTTCCGGAATTAAACTTTTATGTTCCCTGCAGCGCGTGAGTGTTACATTACGGCCTGGCATGACTTTATTGATGAACGGATCCACAGAGCCCTGTGTCCATCTTCTGATCTCTTCCATCGGTGTTGTGGGCACTGCAGAGCAGAACCGCAGCCACAGCTCCCGCTTCTTCGAGTTCCTCACTAAGGAGCTGGTCCTGGACCAGGACCGGTATGTAGGGCTACTTAAGGGAACTTACTTGGGACTGCTGTGCCGCCAGCGCAGTGATCCCGACTCCGGGCCTGCTGAATGAGGCAGGGGTGGGGGGCGAGGGTGGGGAAATACAATTATCTGCTGGTTTCAGAAAGCACCCCAGGACCTAGTGCGCCTTAGGCACTGGAGCGGTCGGTCTGTGATCAGAATGGTTGCAAGATTTTGATTCCTTCGAAGAGCTGCAGCCATCCCTGTAAGCCCCAGTAAAGGATGGCTTGGGAAACCCCGGTGTTTCCGTGTGTGTGGAGAATGTGCTTAGGAACCGTCAGAACCACTGCTATGATGGCCCCTGCTCTGTCCCTGTCTGGTTTTCAGGGAGAATGTTTCCAGAGGGAATCTGGTTATGACCTGAGGCAAAGACCTTTGGACTAGATAAGGCTCCAGGAGAGTCACTGGATAGCTATAAGTCCTTTGACCCAGACAGCTAAACTCCTTGATTTGAGGGCTACCACAGCCTAAGAGATCCCAGATAAACCTGGACACGAACTATCTCCTGTTTGTAGCCTTCTCTTCCATAAAAGCAATGGGCCAGGGTTGGAGTTTCATATTCCTGAGCCTATCCATGCCAGTGAGGAACTAAGGGGATACTTTTGGAAGAACCTCCCAGAATGGAGTCCTTTTTGGCTCAGGAAAGATAGTAGTGTCTGCCTGTGGTGGCTACTCAAACTCCACCCTTCTGAGGAGGAGACAATACTATTTTTTATTTTGGTTTTTTCGAGACAGGGTTTCTCTGTATTGTTTTGGAACCTGTCCTGGAACTTGCTCCTGTAACACTCTCATGCCCTGCATGTGCCAGGCTCTCTACTCCCATTATCCCTTACAAAGGCTTTCCAGGGTCTTCATGTGCAGATTTGGTGTCTTCATAATAACTGCCTTAGAACGACTTTACAGATGGGAACCTGAGGGGGTCAGCCCTGTGCACAGCTGCCCCCTGGTGCCAGACTATCACTAGGCACTTCTTCCTTTTTTTTTTTTTTTTTTTAATCTTGATGGATTATTTATTGTACAGATTTGAATCAGTGTTGACATTTGCCTGGCTTTGAGCTGGGCTTTGGTTAAAAACTAAATGGCTGGTGCCCTGGGGATGCCCATTGGAGCCTGCAGTTAGTAGGAGGACTGTCCCACTCAGCCCATATAAGCCTGACATATGCAAATGTCCACAGAATATACTGAAGTATTCTTACCATTGTGTTATGTCTGTTCTTTTCCTGGGCCTATGTGTAGCCACTGTCTTGCACCTGACCGTCTTGGTGCAAGGATTATTAACTGGGGTGGGCAGACTGGTAAAATTCCCTATGGGCTGATAGAGGCTGGCCTGAGATTTTACCTTGGCAAATGAGTTTGCCAAGGAGCTGACGTCTCTTTTTCTGCTTCCTAAAGGATAATTATCCGCTTCATCCCCTTGGAGCCCTGGCAGATTGGAAAGAAAGGAACTGTCATGACGTTTCTGTGATTGAAACAAAGAATCCAGGGCATCTGCTGAGCCTGACCAGGGCCTTCCTAGAGAGGCCTCCTGGCAGATACCTCTATTACATGCATGTCTGTGGCTTCACTGCACAATTTTTTGTCTACCCCAGCCTCATGAATAAATATGAAATCAAGTAAATGAAGAGGATGTAGTCCCAATATGAATTCTTTGCTTCTGTAATCTCTCTTTGTCATCCTGGACACTCAAGAGGGTGTGGTTGTTCATGAGAGCAAAGAATGGAGTGTTTCCTATTCATGGGGCTGAAATCTGTTTCATGTTTGCTGAAATCTGGGGTGCAGGCTTTGCTTTCTAAACCTGTGCACAGTCCATTGGGGTCATGAGAGCAACTGGTCTGGCTATCCCTGTTGACTGCTGAGCTGGGCCTGGAGAATAAGGCTGGCTGCATTTCAGGGACCATCCCTGGGGCTTCACTGTGTACCTTGACTCTTTCTGATACTGTACACTTTGCAGAAACTATGCCAAATGTGGAAAATCTGGCCATGTAATATTTGCTAGGGTGTCAAGTATGGAGTTGTGATTCCTTCCACTAGAAATGGAACAGCTGCTGTTCCCAATCCCCATCTACATGGCTTTGTATTTTAGATTCTACAGGTGGTGTGAGCCCAAAGAAGTCTCTGTCTCTTCCTTTCCTTATGTTCTGTGCAGAGCTTACAGCTTATAAGCCATTAATACCTGGGCATAGTTAGATGGTTGGTCATCCTCATTTTCAGACACCGATGAAACATCACATTAAGCTTGTTTTGTAAGCTAATAATGTTAGTTTCCAGTGATATTTGCCTAGACCTCCTGTTTGTGAGTGATGATGCTGGGGCCTCTCATTAAAAACACCACTCTGGAGACCCTTTGACCTCCTTTGTGTTTTATTTCCAAGCATGGGGTGAGGAAGCTACCAATGTGTAGTGCAACGTGACAGCAGCTGGCTGAGTGATGTTGAACATGGTGCTAACTATAGGGTTTGCAGAAGTATTGACCATAGATGTGGAGGATAATGGGAGACATAGTCAGCCTCCAGGTTTGCGGCTGGTGGTGACAGTATCCTTTACTGAGACCATATAATATTTCTGGATTCACAGAGCATATTCTAACAACTATGTGAACAAGATGGTGTATCCAGGCGGCATTGACTAGGTATGAAGTATGAGCTTCTTTAAGAAGAATGAGAGATTCTAGGAACTCCCAGAGGATATGTAGCAGTGCCTTAAGAGGATGATCTCACCCCAGGAGTGCTATCCTGGGGAGATGGTGGGAATGGACCCAAGTTAATCTTGTTCTTGGAAGCCTTCCCTGAGTTTCTGCCTCCTGCAATTGAGGTTTTGTTTCTTTTGTGACATGCTGAGATCAGATGATGGGATGGTCCAGTGCATTGACATGTGACTCTTGACAAGTCACCTAACCTTTCAGTTCTCCTCTGCACCATAAGGAGAGGGAAAATTCCTCACCAAATGGCTGGAGAATGACCAGGGTACCTTCTCTTCCCATTTCATATCCCCAGTGCTGACATCCTGCCTTATCTAAGCAATGGGAACAAAGAAGGCCTCTGACCACTAATACTCCCAGATCTACCGTCCATCCTAAGTCCTTTGGATGTCTGCAGAGTTGCTGTACTAGGCCTGCATGGCACAGGGTGAGCCATTATGATTGTGGGTACAGGCACACCTCCCTGGGAATGCAGCTTTTTGTAAATAAATAAATAAATAATAAAAAAATACATATATATACATACATACACACACACACACAGACACACACACACACACACACACACACACACACACACACACACACACGGGGCTTTAGAACACCAGGTCCTAAAAAGCCAGAAACTGTCAAGTCTAATCACCTTGTGCTACAGCCAAAACAAAGGTAAGAGTCTCCTTGACCCCTGAGCTCCCAAGAGTTAGTCCTGTCCCTTATTTTTTACATATTCTGGACTACCTGAAAAAAATAAATAAGAATCACAGTTGGCTATAGACATTATTCCCCCAAACAATTACTAGGTAGAAAATATTCACATTAAGAATAAGCAAAGACATTTCAATAATGTGTGGAAGTGGAAGAATTTACAGAGAAAAGACTGCCAACGCAGAGTGCTTTGGTTGTTTCTGGGAAGAGTATTGTCCCCTCGTTTGGCTGCTACGGCTCCTCATTGGCCAGTCTTCAGAGAAATGGCTTAAGGCTTTGGGTAAAAGGGCTACGAGAACCTAGTTCCACCTGTTCCTTAGCAAACCTGGCTGGCCACCAAAGCTGGCAGGGAGAGCTTTCTCTGTATTTAGGTATCGGTGCTCATTTTCCAGAGTGTGCAAAGTTGCCTGATTTTGAGTTGGAGGTAAAGTGTTTAAAACACTGTGGCATGACTATTATGGTGGAATTGGGGTAATGCTCCTTATGGGGTGTGTTGAATGAATCTTTATCTAAAGCAGGACTTAGGAACTGTGACCTGTTCTCAAAGGCACTTGAAAGATGGAGAGCCAGCCCAGATGCGGCATGGGGAAGGGTTTTCGACGACACCGAAGTGTTGTAGCATCATGGACAGCAGGTCTTCCTGAAGCCAGCCAGTGCACCTGTGGGTATCTGCATATTGGCAGCTAAATCACGCATGGAGTGTCTGACTCTCTGAGAATGAAATGCTTAACTTTCTTCTTTCCTTTCTTTTGTATATATGTGTTTTACTCTATGTATGTTTATGTACCATTTGCTTGCTTGGTACCTTCAGAGACCAGGAGGTGTTGGATTCCCTAGGACAGGACTTACAGAAGGCTCTGAGCTGCTGTGTGAGTGCTGGGAATTGGACCTCAGTCTTCTAGAAGAACAGCCAATGCTCATAACCACTGAGCCGTCTCTCTGTTAACTGTCTTATAACTGGGACAAAGGGATGAGAGCGTCTGTGAGGTAGATGCTGTTCCCAATGACACCTCCTAGCAGAGTCATAATGGGTGGCTGTCAGTTTCAGGTGCCTCTCCCTGCAGAAATGTTGGTGACCTCACAGTGGCTGTTCCTCATTCTTCTGTCAAACAAAGAGAACTCATTTAAACATGAGTTCTTTTCCTCCTCACTTCCTTCCTTGGCATTCTAAGCTGTCATGGGCAGTGGATTTGGCTTATGAAAATTGGGCTTACTTGATAACAGAAGTGGCATGTTTTCTGTTCTCATGGCTTTGATTCAACTTGGAGGAGAAGGACTTAGCCTGGAGAGTAATGCTGTCTATAGCCACTTCTAGGCTAGTGCGGTTAGTCTTACCTGGAACTTTCTGAACCCCCTGCTATCTTGAGGCTCCTGTACTCTTGTTTGGATGACCTGGGGTATCCAGTCTTCATGGAGTGCTGTGATTGGCAGGGAATAGCAATGGCTAAGCTTTCAGGACATGATCCCTCTAAGAACATGAACTTCTTCCTTTACTTCTGTTGAGAATCCTCAGTTATGTGCCTTGCAAAATCACATCCCAACATATCTATCATGGAAATACAATACAGTACAGCACCTGCTACTAGAAACAGAAGGAAAGCCATTTTAAAAATATTTATTTAGTCTTCTTTTATATATTACATGCACACCACAGTTTCCCCTCCTGCCTCTCCCAGCTCTTCCCTCCCTTTCCTCTCCTCTGATCCACTTGTTTCCCTTCAGAAAAGGGCAGACCTCCCAGGGATATCAACCAAACATAAAGTTGCAATAAGACTAGGTACCTCCCCTCATATTAAGGCTGGACAAGATAACCCAGTAGGGTCCCCAAAGCAGGCAAGAGTCAGTCAGTCCCTGCTCCCACTGTTAGGAGTCCCACAAGAAAACCAAGCTGCATAACCATAACATATGCTGCAGGCTCCTTGATTGTCACTTGATGCTGTAGGATTGGCATTCATGACCTACATGCCCTATCTTGCATTTAGAGGCCCAGTTTAGAGGCCCAGTGGGAAGGGCTTATAGGATATCTCTATCTCTGTTGCTTTTCCAGATGTTGCATGGCATTTGACAGCCATGGACTTTTGAACTCTGCTCAGTGCTGTTTTCCTGAACAGACGTTTAATGATCTGTATTATTAGTGTAAGCCAATGAAACATCAAACTGATGTTTGCCCTGTGGAGTATACACAATTGCTAAATAGAGTCTTCCTGTCTCTGTTGTGTTTTAATTTGAGCACTGCTGAAGTCTTTCCCAAAATGTAGACATGGAGTTCTTCCTGTCTTACTGTCCAGTTGTTTCTGCACTCAGTCCTTCTGCCAAGGTACCCTGATTGCTAAAGTAGCTCAAGAGATGTTTGCAGGTTGAATGTTAATATTTACAGACCTGATGTTATGTGACTTTTCTTGGGGAGACATTAACAGATGTCTGTCTATTCACTCTGCACTGATGACAGACAAAAGAAAGTTACTTAATGAATGTGGGTGGGAGTTTACTTACAGAACATGAGCAACTCAAATGTAGATGCAACACTGAAAAGCCTATGCACTCAAAAAAGCTGCACACCCAGAGCTCAGTGAACAACATGCAGGCAGCTTGACTGACATGAAAGTCTCCCCTTCTTAGCCATTGTTGGAAGGGATCTCAGTTTGCTTTTCTATTGCTGTTATACAAAAACAAAACAAAACAACCCTCCCAAACAATCAGCAACAAAACAAACAAAAACCTAAAACCACACCACAAAAAACAACATGGAGAGGAAAGGGTTTATTTCACTTTATACCTTACAGTTGTAGTCCATCATGAAATAAAGTTGGGGCAGAAACTGAAGGCAGGAACCTGGACGAAGAATCAAAGCATCCACCATGGATGGATGATACTGGCTTGCTCCTCATGACTTCCTCAGCCTCCTTTCTTATACAACCCAGGACCATCTGCCTAGTGGTGGCACTGTCCCCGGCGGCCTGGGATCTCACAACAAATTGTTAACCAAGGAAATAACCTAAAGACTTGCCTATATGCCAGTCTGATGGAGGCATTGTCTCAATTGAGGTTCCTCTTCTCAGATAACTCTAGCTGTGTCAATAAAACAATATGCAGCTAAACAGGACAGAAGGAGGTCTGTGAATCTTCTAAGTTTCAGAAGCTGACCAAGCCTCATATAGACTTGTGAGCCAACAGCTTGCTCCTAGGAGGGGATGTTTCAATTTTGAGAATAGTTACACAACACCAGGGGATGGTACTTTCA